CATTAACGGCGTAGGGTATACACACCCTCGAATATAACGATAGCAACTACCACAATACAGGGTGGTTTTGTTCGATACATACTTTTTGGGAAAACTATGATATCTACGTGCATTTAAACCCTAATTCGGTAGTCTTTTTATCGTTGTGAAAGTACAATCAGGTATATTATGTGATACACGCACGAACGATACCGCAATACTATTATATTCCCTCCTTATGGATACATGTACACAAAACACCCTGTATACGAATTATTAATGTCGAAGGTTTTATGATGGCGCTATAGGTAAATATCATAATGTTTGTACTGCACCTGTGGGTTTTTATATCCACACAAAACCATTTTAGTAAGCCTCGCCGGTTAGAGTGTTGTTCAATATTACGGCCGAAAAGGAAACAAGCCTAACCTAACCAATCTCGAAGAAAATTCGTGTGCAACGATAGAAAAAACAAAAATCCACTCAAACTAAACTCAAGCGTGAAAATATAAAAGAACAGTATAAACAATGAAAGTTTGAAAGTTTTACAATTACCAAAATGATACTTTTGGAAGCCGATGCCCGATGGTTTTATACGCTTCGATGGCGGACTATTAAAATTAAAACCGACGTCCTCAAACAAACTTTGATCGTTTACGAGTTGTACAACTTTCAACAAAGTTTTCACTTCTTAACCCTCCATTTTGTTCGCGTTATATGAAAAAGCGATTTAGGTTTAATTTGTGCGTAATGACTCACCGCCCTATCCACTATTATACTACCCTTCCAAGTGCCACGCAAGGATCGAAAAATGATCATATACGCATTATACGTAAGTGGGTAGGTAGAGCTTAGGTATAGGTTTAGCCCTTGTATCTAAACTCAATTTCGGGTTTTAAAAGTCGCTTTGTGTCGCAAAACTCTGTGCCCAGTAGCTATATAGAGAATCACTATTTTCGCTCCCGTTTATTTTACGCGTATGGTCACGGTTCGTATAAAATTTTAAAATATACTTTTTCCAAAAGCGTTCAATCATGGCCAACGGTTAAAAAGTTTTTTTTTTTACAAAAATACGAATTGGTTGTCAAAATTAATTTCAAAATATGTTTAGTGTTAAACAATTGAAATAATTCAAGAATATTAAATTATATATAGGATGAAATTATGCATATTTTGATATAAATAATTCGAAAATCGTATTTTTTTGTTTTGTGTCAGTATTCGTTCGGGGGTACGATTTATTAAAATATTATTTTATTATAAATTATACTTGGTATTTTGATAAGCACGGTTTCAGCGTTCAGAGAATTTAATTAAGAGACTCGACCGACCAGTTCCAAATATTTACTTTCACAGTAAAACATTCCGAAAAACGATTTCAAGTTAGTATCGAGAGCGCCCATGGTTTTATTCGAAGAAAGCTATTTAAAGGCTTAAAAATGTAATACAAAGTTATGCTCGTCTAGATGTTAAAAACTCGTTGTTGAAACAAACAGAGTGGAGATTACAATACGAATTTTAATTAAGAACATTCTTATTAAAATAAAATACCCACTCAGCAGTAAAACTAAAACTTAATTCGTGAATCTGTTCACGTCTGCAATAGTTAAAGAACAATAAGAAGAAGAACCCGATGCTATTTTTTTTTTCGTCAAATAATATAACTGTTAGAGTATTAATTTAAATCCAGTTTTAGGCTAGCAAACAATTTTTAATTTTGTTCGTATATTTCTACTTAGAACGTATAAAAAAAAAATTAATTAAAAACGACAGTGGACGCGAAAATGTGCATTCGAAATACGAATAAAATTTTTGTACAATATTATATACGTACTTGTGTAAAAAATATTACTATTTTTGAAAAAAATATTCCACCATACAATTGTACAGAAATTTAAAATAAAGTCAACATTTACATACTTAACGTTTTTCAAATCATTATTAAAATTACGAATTCCGGTTTTATTTTAAGTTCAATATCTTAGATAAGTACAAGAGCAGTTGTGCTGGGGAGGCGTAATATATTTATAAACCTGCTTTCGTTTTTCTCGGGTTCGTTTAAAATTCAAATCAGTAGCGTATAATTGAAATGCAATTGCGTTTTTTTTTTTTTACATTAGTATTTACGAGAAGGAGGGGGAGGGGTATTTAAGTGAATTGTTCCATAAAAATTAATCTGGTTCATTCGGTCACAACCGTCTGGGCCGTCTACAAGAATAAAAATTCACGATATGTATAATGTAATATAATAATAATAAGAACGGAATAAAATTAAAAGGTTTTTTTTTTTTTGGTACAACGTGATCGCTGTTAGACTGGCTAAATATCTTATGCTTCTACACAAGGTGATTTTTTAACCACGTATGTTTTTAAAAACGCCTTTATGCTAACCCCGTATGATAATAAAAAGGGCACGAATGTTATTGCATTTGCAACTTTTTTCTGCCTTTCAATTTATTGCTAAGTAAGTTTTAAATACGTTTTATGTAAGTACGAATTTAAATCTAAAAGTTTTAAGTGCAATTTTTTGAATTGTTTTCATTTTTTTGTAATTTTGTTGAATTTACTCATTTATACAACTATTTTAGCTTTAGTTGACAATCGACAGCCCTAAAGATAAGATTATACTATAATATCGCCAACCATGAAATCTTAAAACAGAATCTTATATTCTTATCTTTATTTTTATAATTTCAAGTCAGCAGGTATTCAATATACAATACAAAAATAATTTGTAAAATGTGACTGTTCGACCGTTAAAATCTGTTCTTCGGTCACTCCGTGAATTCTGAGCGATCATGTTCTATTATTGTTTTTTAAATATTTTTTTAAAATTAAACCAACTATTTCAACTTTTGTAAAAAATTTGCTATTTTTTAAAAATATTTTTTGTTCAATTTTCGCTATTTTTTAGTGAAATACTACAATCAATTTTACTAGATTTTTACTACTATAATACCCGTGTTCTAATAATAAACGTTATGGTCGATAAAAACTCGTGACTACCGTTGTCGTGTTTAACTACTTAAACTGAAGGGAGAGAGTTCGATTAACATTCATATGTCTGACCAATGGCGGATCCGAAGACGGGTAGGGAAAATACCTGCCCCCCACCATTGAGCATGTAGGCATAAAATAATATTATAGGCACTCCCCTAATATAAAATATTCAATATAATAATATAAATATAGAAAAGTTTATAGTGTGCAGTTTTCAGATATAACTATTAACCAAACCTATAGTGCTCAGTTATAACCCGTAATAAAAGTTTCACCCTGCGAATTGTAACTAAAGTCCACGGTTTTTGTATCCCTTCTCTTATTTTACCGCCCTGGCGACGTCCTATTATTTATTTCCGATAGCGACTAACGGAGGCGTAGTTAAATAACATAAAACTCATAAAAATAAATGTCGCAAAATAATATTATATCGACACTGAATCGGGCGTATTACATTTTAACAATATTGGATACTATAACTAGTTTTAAAATTAAAAGTTATTTTTATAAATCAATTTTAATTTAATAATAATTAATTGCCAAATTATTACACCAACTGTGGAACTACACACTAATCAAATTAATTTATTCCAATTTTAACCCACCGTGCAATCATTTGTCTCAGAAATATTGCTAAAACGTTCTTTTGAAACACGTAACATTACAAATTTGTGTTCCGGTCGCACTATAATGTCTTTCACAACAAGCAACAGTTCACATTGCTTAAAAAAATTACGTTAATACGATGTCCCCGGCACTGCTAATAACGCGTATTTGTGCTTTATCAGGTACGTTTTAGACATATTTATTTCTAACATTCCGTGTGATTGACATGACACTATGATAATTATTGAAATCATTATTGGACAACCCGATTTTAAAATGGATATCGACTAACTAATCTTTAAGACACAGGGAAAAATACCCTCTCGGAGAGACTTATTAAAAACCGAACATATTGGCCTGCTTATAACATGATCGTATGTATAAGTAATATTTGTAGAAAATATAATATTTTACATGAAAAAATTTATGTATAATATAAAAGACGTCCTAGGATAATAGGGACGGATGCAGCTACTCTTATAAGTAATTTTATGTATACCTGTAAGCATTGATTAACCATTGCTTATGAAAAAACGATCCTGAGCGGAGTTCAGTTGATAGTGATGCTTTTTCAACAATATACATACCATATTATAGGTAATATAAAATAATTAACTAGGCCCTATATATTCTTTAATAATATCTGTTTAATGTTGTACCGATATCCCTGGTTTTCTTACATTCCTCACTAAAAGTTAAAGCAAAATTGATGGTAGAATAGTTTTTTACAAGAAAAAGGCTGTAATATTTTTTTCAACTCATACCTACATTTCATACATATTCCCGTATTTCCTCCATTTTTATCGGTTTTTCACATTTATTCAGAAAACTCCTGAGAAAAATTAAAATATGTCATATTTAAAGTACATGCCCAGTCAGATTCTCTTTTAGAAAAATTGCTATTATTTTAATTTGGAACAAAATTGCTGGTAGAAAAGTTGTTCACAAAAAAAAAATCGTAATATTTTCGTAATATATTTTGTACACTTTTCCGTATATCCTCAGTTTTTTTCGGTTTTTCACATTTGATGAGAGAACTCTGAGAAAGTTAAAAGCGTCATATCATACCAATATAACATCTTTAATTTTTTGATTGATACTTATTTCTTAATTCTCTATTTTTGTGTAGATACATGTGTCGTTTGTGTTTGAACAGAAGTGAAAAAAATATATCTGAATATTGACCACAACAAAATATTCTGCAGGCAATACAATTGTTTACGGATTGTACGGTACTTTTCTATACACAACAAATACTTTAAAAATCCCCCCAAAACTACTAAAAATGTAACGGTATCATTACACTTGAAGTGTAGGATAGGCACAACTGAATACAACAAAACGAAAAGTGGTGAAATAAAAAACAATATTTTATTGCATAAATTTAGAAATTAAACACCGGCAGTGACAGTATTTCATTTAAAATGCACCAGCAATTTATTCTTGAGTCGGTTGCTCGAGTTGGGCATCCAACAGCCACCGTCACCGCACTTTCCCAGTCCCAGTAGTTCCATTTCCGCGTACTCGGAGCCCCGTCTGGCGATTAAGTTGTCTTCCGCGGTCTGCGCTTTTAGACGGTCGTTGGTATCTTGCGACCAACTGCGTTTCGCTGCCATAATGTACGCGACATCTCTGGCCTGTTCGGCGATACTTTTGGCCTGGGTCTTTTTTTCGTTGATGGTGCTCAACCGACGACGGCGACGGCACTCCATTTCAAATCGCTTGGCCGTTCGTTTGCACATTTCCAACGGACCGATTTGGCTGTCGCTATCGTTGCCAGCAGATATCCTGTGGGTGTCCTCTGGTGGCGACGGAGGAGGTAATGGCACTGGTGGTGCGTATGATGATTTTTGCAATGATTGCGGTAAATTAATCAATGGTGTTTGTGGTGGCGGGGGCGGCGGCGGTGGTGGTGGATAACTGGGTGTATTGGTTATGGTAAATTCTTTGTGCTCACGTTTGACGGTCGATGGCGAAAGTGGGGTGTCGTTGTATGTGGGCGAATTTTCTGCGGTGAGCAAACGAGAAGGAATACTAGTGGCCGGAGAAGTAATATTAAGGGTCAAGGGTGAAATAATAGGGGTTGGAGGAGTAATATTAGGGGCCGGAAGAGAAATATTAGGGGAAGTAGAATAAATATTAGTTGTCGGAAGTGCAATATTAGAGGTGATGGAATAAACATTGACGGCTGGAGGAGAAATATCAGGGGTAGGAGAAGGAGGGCAGGAAACGTGTGCGTGGTCGTTATCACACGACGTCTCGTCAACAGCGTGAATCTCAACTGGACTGACTTCGACGTCGTAGTCGTCGTTGTCTATGGACGGAACCAGGGCGCAAACGTCGTCGCCGCACGGAGTTTCTGCATCACACGCAGCGTTAGTATTTACCCGGGACCGCCGTTTCGATCGTTTCTTACGGGTGACGGATTTCCGTTTTGGAGTCGTATGGTCGTCGGTAACTACGGAACGATCGGCAATGGTATTCGAGCTTTTTCCCGATCTCTCAATTGTCTTCCGTCCATTGCGGGTCCGAAACGGTTTCGGATGCAACTCGTTTCGGACGTCAACGATGACAGGCGGTGGAGCTACGGATCTCAGGTACGCGGGGTACTGCGTCTGATAGTCGGCCGACTTGTAGTACGGCGCGCCGAAACTCATCGTATCGAAATTATCCATAAAACCAAATTAAAAAATATACAGAGGTGACAGCAAAGTCATAAAGAACCGTTCTTGTTGAACAAAGCTAATACAAGTTTAAAATATACGTTTATTATACGCATAACATTAAAACAAACAGTGTTAAAAATGAAATAATTATTTTTTGGCCTTGTTTTTACACGGTACTCAATGTAGATTTCGGTTTAACGTATCCATGGAAATAATAATAAAAAAAAAATACACTATAATATTATAGACCACGAAGCTACTGATCTGTCATTATCATCTTCATCTTTATCGTCGTAGGACCGGAAATGGGTTTTATATCCCTATAAAGTTTTGTTTACTCTCGAATAAATTAACTATTGATTTCGGCGGGCGACGCAAACACACTCTTTCACACACACACACACACACACACACACACACACACATATACACACAATAATTCAATGACAAATAAATCGATCGACAAATAATAATACAAAAAAGAAGCGACACTACTGATGGGCATACCATCCTTATAGATGGAGTTTGAATAAGGATTGTATTGGTTTTAAAATGATATTTATTTATATATATATATTTCTTTACTGTGAACATCTTTTTTACCAGACATTTTACTCAAATTTTTCAGTGTAAGTAGAGCATCCTTCTAAAAATAAATGAAATCTTTTTGGTACTTTAAGGATATCATTTTTGATTTTTAAACTAGTTTTCATAATAAATGGGGAAAAAACGTAGGATAAACGGGAAAATATACGAAATGTTTTATTTTAATTTTGGTTGTGGTTCATTTTCAAAATAATTTAGCCATATTTCAGCTATTTTTAGACAGTTTAGTTTTTTACATTACTTGGTAGGTACTTTGGGAATATAATTGTTAGACCAAACTGAAATAATTAAAAATGTAATGTTATGAATAATTTGTATAATATTTAACATAAATCTAAATTGAAATTAATAATTGAACAAAATTGTATATTTTGAGACCAGGTCTTATAGAATTTAATATCAACCAAAAATATGATTTTAAATAACTACCAAAAAAAAAAGGTTCAAATTATCAAAAAATCTATAATAAAAATACAATGAAATATAAAAAATAAAAATCAAATAAAAAAGTGATCACTTCGATGCACCAACTATATTTATTAAATCTACGGAAAAGCTTTCCTGTTATTTGTTTGATTAGAACAATGTTTCTAAAAATGCCCTCCACTATGATTATGGAAAACTAGATGACAAATGTAATGGAAATAATTTTAAACCCTTTGAAAGCAAATGTTCGTTTTACGTTATTTCAATTTGAGACGTTTCTACAACTTTTATGTTATTTTAATTTAAAACGTTTTACACATTTTGCTGTTTGCGTTTTGAATTTTACATTATTTGACTTAAGTTATGTCCATATAATAGGTATCGTAATTTGTTCGCATACAGCAAAATGCCACACGAGACCGGGAATATTTGAGTTGGGTCTCCGGGTATTTTATCATTTAAATTAAATTCTTGAGTTGGGTCCGCAGTGTTATTTGACCGTACTCGAATTGGGTCCGCAGACCGCTGTAATGATATTAATAATGATACATTAAGTTCATAATAATAATCATCGACGTAATAATATGAATTTTATGAGACAAAAAATAATATTTAACATTAATAATAATATGACAAGCGTAAAATTAACAAGAAATAAAATTTTTGGAAGATTTCCGAACTAACCTCCATGTAGTGTCTCCTGAGAAATTCTAATAGGCTTGACTAACGTTTTCAATGTAATAAAAAATAATAATGCGATTAAATATGTACAAATAAGTATAGCTCGTGTACACGTAGGCTTTGTTTTAAACTAAAAAATGTACTTATAAGTTCCAGTGGCGCATTTAAAAAGGAGGGGATGGGGATGAATTCCCAAAGTTGCAAAATTTTAACAAATTTAGGAGCAGCAGTTTTACTGAGTATATTAATTTTTTTTTTACTACAAAATGTATAACATTTAATATAATTATTAATAAATAGATTGATTATGCTATGATTTTATTTTTCTAATTAATAAGTAATTATTGTAATTGCTGTTGTATAAAATGGACCGTGTTTGATTTTATACTGAGTACGGTCGCCTTTTTTCTACACTGTGTCGTCTACATTTTTTACCTCCATGTAATAAGTGATAAAATATTATCGTATTAAATCATTTTTGAGTTGAATGTGATATTAGAGAAATGACTGACAAAGTATAAAACTGTAATTCAACTTTTTTTTTATACCTTTTAATTATATAATTATTTGGTATAGCTTTTATTTAAATAAAACACTTTGAAATTATACATTTTTAAACCCTAGGATACACAATTGAAAATTGTATTCAAAACAAATAAGGAGAAAATGTTGTAGTAATTGAAGGTAGGGAGGTAAGGTCTGTAATTGTAAGGTTGTAAGTAGTGAGTGAAACTATATGGGAGTAGAGGAAGCGGTAATAAATTTTGTACACTTTTTTCGATATAATATGCATATTAACTGCAGTGTAGGTTATAGATTTTATTAAAGGTACTAACAAATAAAGAATTATAGATCATCGAATTTAAAAACAGGTTTCGTAGAAATATTAGTAATTTAAAAAGAGTTAAGATGATGATATAATATATTCCTGAACTCCCCTGTAAACACGCCACTGGATGATATTATTAGTTTTAAACTCGGAGCGTAGCCAGACATTTATTAGTTTTACAATGCTGTTTATTTTTTCTGCGGGAATTTTTTCCAGTAGAAATTTTGCTCTGATATATCAAGTGTATTGCATTTTTTTAATAGAATTTCATCTTCTTGGCACTTTAAGAAGATTATTTTTTGATTTTTCAAGCAGTTTTCATAATAATTGGGGAAAAAACAAGAAAATATCCGGACACATATGAAAGAAATTTCGCTCCAAATCGTATTTCGTAAACGTCGTTTCACCGTCGCGTACAGATACGAATTAAATTTCCCTCGATATTCTCCTACTCCTTCACAGTTCCTCACCTACACGGCGGTGGTTCACCTGTCGTGTGAATTTTTTTTTTTTTTTAATGCAACGTTTTGTTTTTTTGATGTTTCGTTTTCCGTTGAGTCATGGTTAAACTTTCCATAGATCATTTAGTCCCCTCTACGTTTTCGAGCGCCGAACGGGAAAACAACGTGGGGCGATACATTGAATTGCCACAGCGATTTCCGGAGGAAACCGCGCGTTTTCGCGCGTTGGGATTTCGATCGGACTTGTGTCGGGCCGAGATATTGCGCCGGTCGGGGCCGCGAATTAAATAACGTTAGAATATCGATTTTGCCGGCGGCGGCGGCGGCGGCCGGGGCGGAAACTGCGCGGCTGTGGCGGCGTGACGAACGAATAATAATAATAACAAAAAAAAAAAAAAAAAAAACATGTATATACGCTTATATTCGCTTATCGCGAGGCGCGGTACGGACAAATTTTGACAGGTCGATCGATAAAACACAATATCGCGTAATACGATACGGTACCGTATTAGGGGAGCGGTACGGCGAGGACGACGACGACCGAGGAGGCGACGCCCACGGTTCCGCGGCGCGCGTGTTTTTTTTTTCTATCCGGCACGGCGGATACGCGGGGAACGGAGGGCCTCGCCCGATAATACAATAATAATAATATTATCCATACGGTGCGCGGCGCGCACACGCCGGGCGGCGTTTTCGTGCGTTTACAACATCACGGCGACATGTTATTACAGTGTGTGTTTTTTTTTTCTCGGCCGTGTGTGTGTGTGTGTGTGTGTTTTTTTTCCACGTTCCGCCCCCTTTCCCCGTTTAATCCCGTTAATATTATTATCATAACGCCCGCGCGTTCGAATGACGTGCGCTCGACGCGAAACGATAACGAAAACGCGCTGTCGTTACGCCGCACAATACGCGTTACACTCTGGTACGCGCAACGCCAATATCGGCGGTACAATAATAACAATACCCATAATGTCGTTACACTGTTTACCCGGGAGATACGCGCCGCCGACACTGAAACGGCGTTGCACACAAATATTGCGTTACGGTAAAATTTAATAATCGCGTTCGCCCGCGGCTCCGGCGCGCCGGCCGCGGCCCCGACGCGTGTTACAATATTATGATAAGTTCGGACGTGTACAACGTTATCGTTTGTCGACGCCCCGATAACGACGCGGCACACCGTCACAATTCGGGCGCGTTATGACCGACACGATTGAATTCCGTTCGACGGAAAAATCCGATTAAAAACGCGCCGTTGCGTGGACGCCTGCCGCGCCGTCCGTCCCGGCGGCTATTCTCCGTCCGTTATCCGGGCCTCGAATTCGATGGACCCTAAACGGAAGAGCATCCGCCACGGGCGTAGTGAGAAAAACAAAAACAGGCCGTGGCTCGCGCAGATCACTAATAAAGCATAAGGAAATATCGCGCGAAACGTTCGAAAAACGTTAGGATTAAACCGATTCGTGTCTACAAAGTGTTATGAAACCAAGGAGCAAGGGCGATTAGAGCAATAGGCCAGGAGGTAGGGTGCGATATAGCAAAGTATTTGTTCGGTTTTGTGGCACACGAAATCATTAAGACGGTAGGTAGATGTTACGCTAGAAGCTGGGTGCCTATATGCAAACGTTAACAATGTTTTGTTAACATGGATTCTCAAAAACAGTATTTATAAATAAATTACTAAGTTTATTTATTAATTGATTATGGTCTAAAGAATACAATTTGTGTTGCTCCCATGTACAGGGTGTCTCATTAAGATATACTCTCTGAAATTTCTGTTTTTTTTTTTTTTAAGGCCTACAAATACTTATATTATAATTAAATTTATATACTATTTTTATAACTTTATTTTATTAATTCGTGATTTATTCGTATTTTATTAATGTTTAATAACTGTTTAAGTTTATGGAAATAAAAACAGACATATTTCACATGATGGGTGGGGCCGCTGTTGTTGGTGAGAAGTTTAAAAGGTAGGATATAGAGGG